TAAAAACTCACTATATTCATATTCAAAATTACTCATAAAGTCTGAAAATTATTGGAATATTTAAAAACTAGCTGTATCTCTCAAGTATAAACTAAGAAGCTAAAGCAACAAGTACTACTTAAATTTTGATATCTCTGAATAGACTGATTAAAAACAGAAGAATGCAAAACAAGATACAGTAACCATATTTTATATAAAAAAATTACTTCTTGAAATTTATGAGTTGCTAGCAGATTTTAATGCTTATTTAAGGCTTTTAATACAACTATTGTCTAGCTTTGAAGTTCAATTCTGAAATCAACTTCAAGGACTGATTTTAATCTCTACAAAATAACCTCATTTTCGAGTTGTCTTAAAAGTATGAAATGGATTTAAGTAATTATTTTGTCGCCAAACTGAAAAGCATCATTGATAATGAAAGTCATACTTGTTTATCTACAAGTCACGGATTTAGGATAACAATTATTATAATAATTTTAATACGAATGCAAAGTGAACACATACAATTTTTGATAATTAACCGATCAAGTGTGTAGTCATTAGATTTTAGATAAACACCACAACAATCTAAGATAGTGAAAATTTCACCTTGAAATACTGATAACAAATAGCAACAGAACAATTACAGTAACAGATATGCTATGATAGGATATCAAACTTTTTAATCTAAATCTCAATTGACACATGTCAACACCGTCTTATTTTGAAAACATATAGCATAATTGCACAAGTTTTCAAACTCATATGCTACTTTGCTTCTATTTTCTTTACAATATTTGTTTTATAAATATGAGTAAGTAGTTGATTTATATTTGCGCAGTTGTTTTGAGAAGTAATGATCACTGTATTTGATAGTTTTTTGGCATTCAAATGTTGTTTAAATAGTGATAATTACTTATTGACTCTATGATTTCTACCAAAATATTTTGAAAGTTATACTTTACATTTACTTTCCTTTTGTCTATTTTAGTTAATAGGCCATAAAATACAATTATGACTACTCGTGTACGCTGCTATTAACTTCCTTTTATGATATTATAATTACTACTTGTTTGTTCAGCATTTTATATTTGCATGGAAACATTTTCACATATTTTTTGCATAAATAAAAACATCATATTTTTAATATATCATTTAACCAAATACATTGATAGTAGTGATTTCAGTTATATAACTTAAATAATTAAAATAAAGTTCAATTATCTTGATATAAATTCGAATAATGATAATTAAGGAATGAGATATGGTAAATTTATTATATAAATCACAGCCATTACTGATGAAAATCATTATCAATTTGCTGATTCCTTTTCATAATTTTTAAGTAAAAAACTCGTAGATATTATTTGTTTAGTCTACTTAACTTAATATAATTGATTGTTAGGTTAACAAACTTATCCACAGCTTATCAGATAACAAGAGATGAATTTAAGAGTTCTGTAATTGGCACACAATGTGTATGAGTGATGATCATAGGATTGGATACGTTTTCAAGTTTATCTTTTCACTGCTTGTTGTTTGTGCAATAAGTTCTATTATTTATGATAGCAGTGATTATAATAATTTTAATACTGTAAGTTATCAAATTTCAATCATTCTCAAATTTATTTTTCTTGAATTAAAAGCAAACTTGCAGAACAACAGTTGCTTATAGTTGAATTCTGACATCTTTAGTTAGAACTTAATTCATCTAAGCTAAACTTTTAAAAAGATTTCTGATGCTTATAAGTGCTGATGCTTTTTCAGAACAATAGTTGATAAAATTAAAAAAAAACTTAATAGTAACTAGTAAACTATAACTTACTGCATTTTTTAAAATAAGAAAAAACCTAAAGATTTAAAAGTAACTTTTCAGAATTACCTTGACCTTTATTTTTGCAACAACTTTTTGACCTTTAGGGAACAATACAGTCTTAAAATTTGATATGTCCATTTTTTTGACACCGAATTTAAGAATACAATCAACAATTAAATAAATTTACTTGAAGTCATCTATCTTGTTCTTTGTTTTTCAAAGAAGCAAATCATGAACTAACGCGTTTTGCAATTTCAAATGTAGAAGATTAAGTTTGCTTAATAGGTTTAAGCGGTTTTAAAGGAATGAAAACAGCTAAAAGCTAATTTGATAATTAGTATTAATATTTATTCTCAGCTTTTGTTATTATTATAATATAAACTTTGTTTATTTCAGCAGTTTAGCATTTCAGTTAGGTGATAATCCAGGCTGATCCAAGAATCATGCTAGTGATTACTTCCGCTTATTTTTTATATTTCATTAAAAAAAGTTAACAGTATTAATAATATCAAAAGCTGAATAAAAGGAAGACAATTTCCATGGTGATGATGAAGCCTTGCATTATTTGCGAATTACATTATTACTTATGGATTTAGCTAAGAACAAAGTTGTATGTTATCCTAAACTATTCTGTTCCTTTTTCTATTTTTTGAGCGCAATTTTGCACTCTTAAACACTCGATTTTGTTGCTGAAAGTAATATTATTTTAAGTAAAACTTTTTAGCAGCAAAATAATAATTATATTAGTATAATTTAGCGAAGAAATGAATTTGATCTCAATTGAAATGCTTGATTTCCCTTTCATTTTTTTATATCTTTTACTGAGAACTTCTAGCAAAGACATTTAAGCTTTTAATATATAAAAATTAGATCAAGTTGGGAAGTTATTAATGTCAGACAATTAAAAAAAGCATCTTAAGTGCATATTGCAACAATGATGTGGTACTGTAGTGACATTTCTCATTGGATGCAACAAACAACCGTCAGTAAAAGCTCCGCCTCCAAGTTCAGTTTTCAATAATTTTATTATTATTGTGATGTTTCTCTCTTTACTATTTCTTTCTATTATTAGTAGATTTTTTCTGGAAATTTGATTTAAATTTTAATTAACATTAAAATCGAAAAACTGAGTTTGAAAAATAACAAGTAATTTATAAAAAATTCAGTCATTATTATAATCTTGTCAAATTATTTGAATATCAACTTAATTTGAATGGATTTTTAGAAAATTTATCACCAGAAGTAAGTAATAAAATTTTTTAAAACTATCACTTATGAATGAATATTGAAAAATTATACATTTGTGACAAAAATAACTGATTTAAAATTAGTGAAAACTTTTTTAATTTATGCAAATTTAACAGAACAAAAATTTAATGTACGAAAAAACTGTTCGAAATTTTTTGTAATTTGAATTCTTCTACAATTACATTAACAAATTAAAGATAAATGGTGTAAAATTAATTATCATCGTTGAAGTAACTGTTTGGTACGGTATCACAATACGTTGTTGATTCTTAAATCAACTCATTTTTGGCATTGAAGGGAAGTTTTAGTTTCAAAAGTTTTCTTTTTTCAATATATAGTTTCAAAAAAGTATTAGAGATATGATTATTTCAAGGATTTCAAACTAATCTTTTTCCTGAAAACCAATTATTTAATGAATGATAGATTACGACATTAATTAATTTTTAACGCGTCAAATTTAGTTACATGAAAATAAATTGAAATTATATGAACGGCATTAACATTACTTTGAATACTTATTAAAAAATGCAAAATATATTATAAACTCAACGATTACACAAAAAACAAACAAAATTCAAAGATGTATTATTGAATTTTACTACTAATGTAATTATACAACTTTACTCGAAATTAAAATGTGATTTTGAATTTTTTGTCTTGATATTTGAACGAAATACGTATATTAGAAACTTTTTCAGACACTGAATTTAATTTTTTAAGCTTACCATAAACCACTGTTAGAATATTTAAGTTCCAGTTATAAGAAAATCACTTCCTAAATCTTATAGTTATGCGTCTTTTATGCTTAATCCAAGTACTACTGCCACATTTTTTCATCAGTCACAAATTAATTTCTGTACTGCACATTAATTCGAAGTCTTTTTTATTAAAACCAATCTCTTACGGTAAATAATTCAAATTTTATTGCCGAAATTTATTTTCGGCATCAAAAGTAATTTCAGGCCAACTCAATTTTTTGAAATATATTAGCTGTTGTGTTTGTTACAAATTTAATTATTGAGAATGATTTTTTAAAATTTAATCGTTATAGTTATTATTTATTCATGCCAAAATTTTGAAATGGTTATCGTGAGAACTGTAGAATCACGAATATTGAGATTACTTTCTTCTCCAAAGATTATGATAATGAGCTCAGAGTAATCCAAAGATATCAATGAAAATTGCTTCGACAACTAGCATGACGTCGTAAACTGTATCATGAGCTTCTAAAAACTAAACCTTTGAAAGTTGATCCAACTTCTTTCATTTCGATTGATAGTAATAATAATGAGTGACAATAATAAATATTAATAATAAAAAGATAATTTTTTGTCGTTTTGATAAAACTTATCAATTTTTGATCCGTTTTGATCCATCCCTTCTTTCAAAGACACATTCAAATTCTATCAGTTCCATGGTTACCTTCTGCAGAGTGCAAAATGTTCTCAAACTATCCGTTTTCGCAATTTTAGTTTGCTTTATTTATCAGTGTAAAATAGATATTGTGTTAAAAATATTGGCAAAAATGGGAGGGAAAGGCTGAGAAATCAAAAACTTTTCTTTTTGAGCACTGATAAGAATTTGGCAGTAATTAAAAATTTGCGTGCTGTGATGCTTATTCATAATTAGAAATTATTTATTGCTATATTAGCTTTAGAAAGAATGTGTTTTATTTGACGTCTTTTTTGACTAATGACATTAAATACAGTAATTAACTTTTCACACTTATTTGTAGCATTTGAGTCTGCAGTGAAATGAAAAACTGATCCAATGTCTTAACTGTGCATAAATTTCATGAATAATTAAAACTTCTGTAATTACTTGATTACTTGATTATATAATTACTTAAAATTATTTCAGAATTAATGCAAATGAAAGTAAAGTATAGTATTGTTAAAATTACCATTGATATAAGTTTATTTTGGTAGGTTGTTGGATTGCAATCATCATACAACACATGGTTTATGGCACAGTACCATTCACTCCTTATCCACACCTTCCATGCCCTTCAGGCACCACAAATGCAACTCCAACTTTTGGTTATTCACCTATACATCCAATGGCACCAATGGGAATGTTTCCAAATAATTATCCAAGCGGTTACTTCATTTTACTCAAAACTTTATAATAATTTCTGTAAAAAGTGAAAAAAATTTTTTTCGAATAATGCAAACTTTTTTAAGAAAATTATTGAATTTGCATTTTAGCAAACTTTTATTATGAAAAATTTAGGCATAATTCCAAGGAAGAACCGAAGAGAAAGGACTACATTTAATAGGCATCAGTTAGAAATCTTAGAAAATCTATTTGCTACCACACATTATCCAGATGTGTTTACTCGAGAGAAAATTGCTGAGCAAATACAATTACAAGAAAGTAGAATTCAGGTTTACTTCCTACTTTTGACTGATATTTGAGAGTAACAATATCTCTTTTGTTTACTTGATATTCGTCATCTATTCAAATTCGCGCCAATTTTATGCAAATTTTCTTCATTCATAATTGATACTATTTTATAGTTGTTTTTAGCACTAACAATTATGATTCCTCTTAAATGTTTACAATTGTTCTTCTTGAGGAAGTTATTAGCTGAATTAATATTCTGATTTTACCAAAATTTATTTCCATTTTATCAATTTTTAACATGCAAAATGTAATTTGTAGTCGAATATTACAATAGTTAAATGAATGTGATAAGCAATTCTGATATGATTAAAGTTTAGGTATGGTTTAAAAATCGCCGCGCAAAACAGCGACAACAAGAAAGGCAAAGGCCAAGGGGGTCACATACAATTTCTACAAATAGTTCAACTTCATGCGGTACTGCAAATAGCAATGGTAGTCACACAAGTGCTATTGATAACTTGACAAAAGAAATTTCAGGTGGATCAAAAGATTCTACACTTTCTCCTAAACCTACCGGGCAATTTGCTAGTGAACCAGAATCCAGGTGAGAAACTACTGCTACTTGAATGCATCGAAAACTTCAAATTATCTGATATTAGATGAAAAATTTAACTAATCCCTCTTAAAGTTTCGCAAAAATTTGGTTGTTCACAAGTTGATCCTAACTTCATAAATAGATAGATATTACTATGAATTTCTGTAATTTCGCACCGCACAAGTTAAAATCACTATAAAGTTTACATTTACCAATTATATTAAGCCATGAATTACGTTTAAAAGTTGAAGGAAAATAAGAAATACCTAAACGTTTTAAGAATCTTACAGCCATTACAGTACTTAAAAACATAATTCCTGTTCTCGCTTCCAAAAATTTACGTGAGGTTAATTTTATCGTTGGCGTATTCGTTTACAAATATTTATGGGATAGAAGCATTTAATTTAAAATTTAAGTTACAAAGAATAAACATTTGAAATACTAATCTAGACTATAGTCAGAAAAATTCGAGAAACTTATCGTGCAATTCGGAGCATTCAAATAAGACAGCGAAATTAGAAAGTAAGGAGCGAAATCCAACATTATCAACTAATCGGCCATTATCGACCAGTTCAGAATTACTTGACAGCTTGTGGCAAAATTCTGCTGAAAATGCGGCAACTTTTAAAGTCATTTTTAATAATAAAGTATTATATTTTAATGAAAACTCTTACTTTTAATATCAATAAATTGCTTAATTTGGATAAATTACTTTAAAAAGAAAGTTTTAATTTTAATAGGTCATGGGTTAGAGTGCAAGTTCTTGTATATTATTAAGTACTACATTTTTAACTTTGCATCAGATGCCAAAAAGTTAAATGCATACTAATAAAACTTGACTGCATTAAGTTCATAAAAAAACCTTTAATCATTTAAGATTCCAACATAAATTGAACTAATTAGTTCTCGAGAAAGAATTGAATTACTGTTTAAATTTGAATTACGTCTGAACTGAATTTTTCAAACAAAATTCTGACTTGTTTTTTTCGTAAATACGCAGTTACGCTGCCAAAGTTCACATTTTCAGGGTCAGTCAACACCAATCACTACAGTGACTTCTTCGTCGCAACTACCAACATCAAGTACATCTTTAACATTGCATCAGATGCAAATTCCACCACCTTACCCTCACCCGCAAGATTTAAATCCTTACTTCTACAGTAGCCATCAATATTATCAGCAAATGTTGGATAGCAGTGCTGCAGTTGCTTATAACAACACTTATAATTATCAGGCTGCAGCAGCAGCTTCTGCTTACAGTCAAAATCATCCAGTAACCGCTTATTCTGCACATCAGTACTTCTTTGGCTCAAGGTAATTCATATAATGCATATTTTGCACATGTGATTTATACGATATCTCTATAAGCATGTTGATAAATAGTTTCATTTTTCAGATGATAATGACGGATTCAAAGTCAATGAAGGAGATATTCTGTAGCAGAGTGACAGATGAAAATCGACTCATTCAAAACATTAACGGCACGATGGAAAACTAATCTACTTGTAAAATTATGAATCCCAACTTGTTGCATCCTCATCGATGTTATTACCATCACCAACCAATTTCTTTCAATCTTTTGTAATCAAAATTATATTACGTATTACGCTTTCTTGTTCATTTATAGCAAATTTAACTTAACTTCTAGTGTTTATATGAATTTTTGTTGTAAATTGACTTAAAGTAACTGCTTCTTTGTTCTATACGTAAATTTAGCATACAACTGGTCATGTCATACACGGTTGATTTTAGTCGTTGCAGCGTTGACTGTATTGAAAATTGAATCGAACAATCTTATATCTTTAATTATTCGTTTATTGCTACATCTATATTCTCTGAAAATAACCATAAAATAAATGTCAAAATAGAGTATTTTTAAGCAGTCAATTACTGAAAAATTACGTTTTCATTTTACGTAAAAGTTAATTATGAAAAAGCATAATTATGAAAAAGCACTAATAACTTATATTCCTCGTAAATCAGCTTTCAGTTCAAGAAAACAAAGGTCACAGTTAGACACTGCAAACTGCTGAAGATTAGTTATGCGCAATTATCTCAGAATCAATTTCTTATCAGAACAAGAAATCCCTGTTTGCCATACTAAACCCCAAATCTAATCAAGTCAAGACTTGTTTCTTACTTCATTTAAGTTCACGCAGCAGTCAAGAATATCACTCCCTACTCAACTAATTTTTCTAATTATTCTTTGAAAGATCATCAGGATTATTGCTTCGAATAATCACTTCTAAATGATTATAAAACCGTTACGGAACTTCTAGCAGAAGAAAGACACAATCTGATTTACCCTGGATGCACTAAGCATACTTCCTGAAACCATCAAGCTCAATTAATTTCATCTCCAACAATGTCGATAATCGGTACTTAAAAATGAGCACTTGTACTGTTTACTGTCTTCTTCCCAATTTCTTAAGGATCTTTATAACCAGCAATTCATGCCTTCGATAACAATAGATCAGACTTGATGGACAACAATTCATAATCGGTCATAAAGAAATTGATGGTTTCAGCGTTCTATTTCCTGAGTTATAACTTCATGGTATTGATAACCTTTGGCCTTTATAATTCAAAAAGACTATAATTGACCAAATGGTATTTACACTTCTGCTAACCACTGAAATGCTACAGGGCAAGAGTCAGCGATAATTGAATACAGAACTAATGATGTGCATTCTTAACATTCACAAGCTCAGTGAATAGGCCAAGCATGATGGATAACAATTCATAACCCATCAGCAAGAATTACGAGTCGAGATCTGAATGTGAATAATTCTCGGTACTTCATTAAAGCACTACATAAGCAAGCTTCCTTAAAATCGACTGCAGTAATTAGCGAAGGCGTTCAAGCAATTGGGTAGTTTGACCTTTTGAATACTAAGGGTCAAACTACAGAGGAGATTGATTCCGCGTATGTGATGCTAACTATATGTCGAAAGAAGTTCAGAATTGTAAACTCGCATCATATAATCAACTATAATCAGTTAGTACTGGAATGAAAACGCTGAATCTCATCCCAGTCATCCACACGTAATCGCCATGACTATCCCATGCAGACAGAGCCTGTGCAACACATTTGTATTGCTCTCCCATTTCATTGGAAAAACAGACATCGTAGCTTTGGAACTGTAAGAGTAGTGGAGACTCCAGAGAAAGAGAGTAAACTAGATATCAACAAATGCAGAGAAGCAAAGGTAATTGAATAGGAACTGCATAGCAACCCGTCAACGACATATCGCAGAGATTTTAGATATGGATACTCAACACCCCTGTTAAACTTACTTGGCTGGGAGTTAACTCGCGATCACGAAGGCGAGTGCTCCACGGTGAGGTCAACCCATTGCACTTTTAGGGTGGTGACTGACCCGTGTGGCAGTCTCGAGTTGGGACTAGCCAACAGCGTAATTTTTGCGTTTGGGGACAGTCAGTGAACTGTTCCCCGTGACTCTCTGAAACGTATGCAGGCCGTTGAGGTTTTATTACGTCAAGGTCTCTTGTACAATCTAGATGACAAAGTGCATCACACTCACTCACACAAATAACATTAGCATTTCCATGAGATACCAAACTTTACAAGTCCTACTTCATAAATACATATTTTAATATGAACTACCCCAATTCCAAATGCAAAATATGCAGATCAAATAAGCCACTATGAATTAATATGCTAGTGCATCCTAATGTTATCACTGAACTTTGTTAATAGAGCTGATGATCGTCCAAAACAATATATCCAGGAAACTGGAATTCCTCAGAAACCACCAAGTTTTCTCAGAAGACAAGCAAATTGTAGAGCATTCTTCATACCGTCGGCATCACATAAATTCACTAATGGCCAATATAGATCCAGATTGAAAGTTTGCGGGTCAAGACGAGCCAAATTCAGTATCTAGAACTTTCACAATAATCCATTCATCAATGATTTACAAGTTTGATTTAACTAAACTTCTGATTTCATAATAAGCCATGAAATTCTATTTAAATTACCAAATCACGTGGGAGAAGTTCGATTATTCTCCGAGTAGCTGGATTTCGTGGCGCATTTGCTAATGACACCATAAAATGGTATATAAATGTAATTGTACTCTATAACAACAAAAATATTGCACACTATTACGGTTGTAATTTGATTCAAAATGATAAAGATGTGTACAAAACTCTATCAACTCATCACTATAAATACCAGCACTTACAAGCAATTGATTAAGAATTTCTCTACATTACAGTTTCAATTGAAAATGGTAACGAAGTTTGTAGAGTAATTTAATATGAATTCTTAGCGGTCTCTACTAATCTTCCAGCATGGTTATTAATTAAAAAAATACTTTTAAATGCCCAGCTCTGGCCTCACGAAGAAATTTATCGAAAATTACTAAAACAGAACGCTCCACGGGATTGCCCAGATCACTTTCGTTATTTTCATCTTCATCACCTTCAAATCCAGAGATGAAACCTTTTTACATATGCTGCATGTATAGATTTTTAATATAGATATAGAATGATAATACTGACTTTTTTTTCTTTCTATGCAATCGCCTCTTGCAACGCGCGCTTGTCTTTCTTTTTGCTGTCTCCAATATGCATGCATAGCCAACTGTAAACAGTGTACCAGGAACTGTGCACTTACTAATGCTTTTGGTTCTACACAACCTAAAGGCTGCATTCAAGTAAATGCAATATATACAAATAATATACATTCTACTCATTTAAATGGCGCACCAAACTCAACGTTTTGTTCAAAGATGTATTCCGTTATGCTGCGTGCAAAACTAAGCATGCAAGGCACCGGCGACATAATACCAGCTGCAAGACACAATTCACCCGCACATAGCATCTCGTCATTTGTAGATAACTTTAACATTGCATTCAGCCAAACCTAAAGATCAGGCTAATAATAACGCAGTATGTAAATACTTGTATATAAGCTTCAAAAAAATACAGAATGTAATGGAAATGAAAAACAATGAACATTATTCTGAAAAATTAAATCACGTGCTCAGGATAAAAAAAATGTAGCTTCGAAAATAACACTTGAGACAAATTCACGAAACAAAACATCTGAAACCGATTTACCATACACCAGTTTTCAACTACGCCGGCTTTATTACACCGGTCCACTAGTTGTAAAACATTCGGAGAACCCCACGCTTGTTGCCTAGCATAAGTGAATGCTTGCTTTAACATTTCTGCATCTGAAGACTAAAAATTACGCAGTAAGGAAAAAGGCGGTAAGATAAGAAAATTTTATAAAAAACTGGAAAAAATGAAGTGGATGAACCTGAGCATTTGTAGCAGGTAAGGTGAATGGGACAACAGGTAATTTCCTTTTGGCACAATTAATGATCCAAGTAAATCTAGGATCACGCAATCTATCGCAAATTGAAAGATCATCTAAAGTACGACGACAAGTAGCTGACGTCAATACCATCCTAAATTATTTATGTAGTTATATCTCTTAATTTTTACAAACATTTCTAAGAAAATAGTGAAACATATAATTGAGTAAATGTTCTACAACATTTTTCAAAAAGCGATGATACCGTTCCTGCTGTGTATGATTCAATTGATGTGGGTATTCAAGAGCTCGAATAAATGACTTCACAAGACTTTGGCGAGGGCTTGTAACAGGCTGAGAACACATCCACTGAACTAAGCAAACAATCATGAAATTGGCATCATCCCGAAAAGCATGAAGTACATTCTGTAATTCTTCTATTAAAATCAAAAGCAATTCAAGCATTTAACTTCAAACTAACATTAAAGTTCTAATAATTCTAACAATTAGACACCAAAAATTAAAACATTTTTTTGCGACTGAGATTCATGCAACCTTGATATTCTCGTGAAGGTGTTCGTAACTTTCAGGCTTGGTCAT